GAAAGTAAATCTCCTGATGATTATTAGGTGATGTTATCATGTATGCTCATAGTCAAATAGACCCACTTATATACTTTTTTGGTTTAAGATTTTCTGAATTTCTTAATTATATAATATTATATGATATCATGTGTAATAATATGTTAGCACAAATCAAATCATACCCACAAGAAAATACTTATAATATTATATATTACAATGTTTTTACATATATATATATATATATCTTTGTTTAATAAATTAATTATATAATATTATATGATATCTCGTGTGTAATAATATGTTAGCCCAAATCAAATCATACCCACAAGAAAATACTTATGAAATCAATTCAAATATTATATATTACAATGTTTTTACATATATATATATATATCTTTGTTTAATAAATTAATTATATAATATTATATGATATGGTGTGTAATAATATGTTAGACCAAATCAAATCATACCCACAAGAAAAATACTTACGAAATCAGTTAAAATATTATATATTACAATGTTTATATATATATATATATGTATCTTCGTTTAATAAATTAATTATATAATATTATATGACATGGTGTGTAATAATATGTTAGCCCAAATCAAATCATACCCACAAGAAAAATACTTACGAAATCAATTAAAATATTATATATTACAAAGTTTTTACTTATATATATATATATATAAGCAGAAATTCTTTTTGGGTTCATGCATATCATTATTCTGAAATGTCCATATCACTTGGTGGCTCGTTAAAGTTACAAATCATACCTATTTGACCTTTTCTTCTCTTATACATTTTTGACATTTTTCTCATGTCCTCACTTTCCAGCAATTTATTAAATATATATATATATATATATATATATATATATAAAGATTGACAAGGGGGGACAAACTTATAATAACTTCGTCCAGAGAAAAGAAAATGGAATTATCCCTGTATGATCGTTACCAATATATATATATATATATATGTGTGTGTGTTAATAATTTATATACCCATTTTAATTTTTTTTATCTAATTTAATAGGATTAAGAAGCTTCTTTGATTAAAACAATCACCACAAATTACTCTAATTATAATTTGTGAGATAATATGTAAAAACTCATAACTTAAAAGAAGTAAATTTATAATTTAAATACAGAATCGAATAATAATGTTAGTGTTTACATTCCTTACACAATAAATTATAATGTCCAATAAGATTACGAGAATATCTCTACTACAGTAACTCGTAAAAATAAAGTAAATAAATGATTTAAAACAAATAAATAGATGTTATAGAAGTTAACCTGAACTAGCTCTTAAAGGGGTCCGGGAGGTAAACTACTCACAATTTTTTTGTTGATCGAGATCTGGATCCTGATACTCTTGATATGAAATTGTTAATAAAAGAGTGAGTTACACTACCCCAGTAAGAATATCGCACTAATCACTAATACGGAAAATTAAGGTTGGTAAAAATCACAAAACAACTAATGGAACCCTTAATATAAGTAAATTTATTTAATATCAAAACATTATTTTCATACTTAACGTCATGAGTTTTCCAAAACAAACCTATAAGACAAACACCCATATAATATTTATAATTTCATGTACAAGTTAGTAAAGTTGATCATTCTCCCTTTTTACTTGCTCACTGAGATTCTTGGGGGTTTATAGGAAAATCTTCTTATTTGTGAACCCAATATCTAAACTTGTAAATTTACCAAGCCGTCTCCATATCCCGTCCGATAATGAGCGCCAAATACACTATCTCTCCATATCCCGTCCGGTAATGAGCGACAAATACACTATCGCCTCGATACCCCATCCGGTATAAGGGTGAACTATATTCCCCAACATTTTCAGTATGGAACCCATCAGCCCCATCCGACTGAGGTATTATCCACGGTAGAATTTTTTTATGTACCGGGTCCGTCCACTATTTCTCAGGGTACCCAATAAGTCTTTCATATATAGATATCCATCAACAAGCAATCACCAATCACCTACTAACATCTCATTTTATATTTATAGATCAATCAAACGGCATTTGAACTAATAATACATTTTTATACCTTAACAATTAAGAAACATAATTATGCATTTATTTCAATTCAATCAATCTGATAAGGATCACAATCGGGCAATTAGTAACGAAAAAATAATTAAATGTGATAATTTAAATCATACGAGGGAATAATAAGCAATTAAGGTAGTATAGAAAAATTAAATAGCTACATAGACGAGCTTAGGTCAATAGTACACTGATGTAGCACCCGGAAAGGAGGGAGAAAAAAAAAAGGGCCATGTCAGCAGCCACGTCAGCAGGCCCGGTCAGCAGTTCCGGTCAACCGGGGCCTGCCACGTGGCAAGACCGCGTCACTCCGAAAGGAGCCACGTTGGCGATCTGCGTGGGTGCGATCCGTCGGCCCAGATCAATCGCGCGATCGGACGGTCCAGATTCAATCAAAAACGAACGGCCCAGATTAAAACGAAATGAACGGCTGAGATCAAAAGGTAAGGGGTTATAAATAGAACCCCCACACCAGACCACAAACCCTAGCCGCCCGCCGCTCGCCGGAGAAGACGAACCAGAGGCCGACCGCCGCCACCCGCCGCCGCACCGGGGAAATTTCCGACCGCCGATCGAGGTAAATTTCATACCCCC